CCAGATTCAGTTCTGCACCCATATGATGGCTTAAAACCATCTGTAATTCTGCTTCCAAGAGATACTATGCCCTCTTCTGGTCTCTGCGAACACTGCACCCATGTGATGCACATACATACATATCAGCAAACATTCATACACATTAAATAAGGTTTAAAACTTCTTTTAAATATGTAGGTAGTAAGCATGCATGATTTTTTCCTCTAAAAAAAAGTGAGCTTTCTCAATGTCATAATTGTGTCATAGACCTCTAGAGATAGAAACTTGACATCCCTTACCTTCCTCAAAGTAAATGCCATCCTCCAATCAGGAATAAGAACAAATATTCATGAGGTGCAAAGTTCAGTAATCATTTCCTTTTTCTCCCCTATCTCTGTAGTGATTTTTGGATCCTGGTTTGATCACACACTTGGATGGTTAACCAGGAGAGACACAGAGAACTTTCTACTAATGTCCTATGAGGAGCTACAGAGGGTAATTCTCTTTTACTGTGTTTCCTACATTGCTCATATCTGCCTTTGTTCCTTCCCTTTGTATTTCTCTAGGGGTAAACAATCGAGTAAGTGAGTGGGAGACTGTCATAGCTAGCATCGTTGTCAACTTGACACACCTGTGAGAGGAGCTATCCATGGAGAAAATGCCTCTACTAGATGTCTGTGGGGGGATTTTCTCAATTAATGATTAACGTAGGGGAGCCTCGCCACTTGGGGTGCTATATCCATAGGCAGGTGGGCTTGGGATGTATAAGAAAGGTAGCTGAGTAAGCCAGAGGGAGCAAGTCAGTGAACAGCATTCCTATGTGGGCTCTGCTTCAGTTCCTGCCTCAAGTTCCTGCCTGGCTTCCATCCATGATGCTCAAAACCCAGAAGCTGGATAAGCCCCTCCTCCCCCAGGTTTTTATTGGTCAGTATTTTATCATGGTAACAGAAAAATCAAACCCAAATAGGGAAGGTGTGTAAAACCCAGCCTTTCATTGTCTGCATAACCTCAGCACGTTCTAACTCATCCTGTGACTCACTGTTCTCCTGAAACTGCAAAAACAGTAGTATTCAGATACACAATAAAAGTGACAACTATCTAGAATAGTGAATGTCATGCTACATGTGTGCTTGATAAGTCTTAGCCATGTCTTATTAAAGACACCTGCTTCATCTAAATGTTCTTTCAGTTTCAGAGTAAGAATCTGATGGCTTTTGTTCAGAACGCTAGCCTGGCAATGCTCTGGGTTCATGCTCAACAGCATTAGTACACGAAAGTTGTCACAGTGGCTCCCACCTCGACAACCTGACCACATGAACACATTTGATGCAGGCACCTCAATAGCTTCATATTGGGGCCCAGGGACAATCAGATGGAGTATCGAACATTAAACTTAGGCAAGGACCTTTCATATAGACTTTCAGAGAATGTTCCAGGCTCGAGTCCTAAGTCAGAACTAAGAACTGGCCAACAGGAATCTCACCATAGTAAACTATGTATTATATACAGCAAT